TAAACATTATTCGATTGTGCATTCGTATATCTGTTTAGCATTATTGTTATTTATGTAATTATGTTAATGAACTTAATGTCTTAATAAAATATTATTTGATTTTAAAATTAAGTAGTTATTATAATTTACAATTTCATATTAATGAAACGATAAACAATTATAAATGGATTATGCATATTTGTATAACATAATTCGTTAGTTTGACGTTTATCGAGATACACATTAAAAATTCTCAACATAAAATATACGGGGGCGGAGTTTGGTTTAGGTCACTGTTTGGCACTATAGCAGATTACCACAGAAATAGCACATTTGGCTTGGGCAGCACACGCGTACAATTTATCTTTAGAAGTGCAATTTCATCTGAGTATTCAACACAGTTTTTTCACTCTCGGATAACTCATTCATTCTCCGAAATTTTGTATAAAATGAAGTCTAATTTTAAAGCGAAACATTTTAACTTTAGGGGTGTTAAAAAAGAAGAGATGCAAAGAAGAAATGAAAATCAAATACGGTGCATGACTGTTGGTCTATCGATATTTGATAATAAATATACCTAATTATATGTATTATGAAGACAAATGTTTAATTGAATAAATGTTTTTTTTTTTTTTGTATTTCAGATAAACGAATTATACGAAGAAGTATTGCACGAAATACTGCATTGTATTGGTAAAGAAAAAAATTGTTTAAATCAAGAAAATATAATTGAATTCGCCCGAAAAGCATTTAAAATTGACCAAGATACTCACGAAGCTATATATCATGCCGTCATAGAAAAAGAAGTAAAGCACCTATAACGAATTTATACCAACTTTTTTTTTTATTGTATTTAAATGAATCATAGTTAAAAGTGTTAATGTTATTATAGTAAAAAGTAATAACTCAAAAAGTATTAACTTAAATAAATTATTCTGTTCAAAAGGCTCCGAACATAATGTTAAATATTGAAATCATCGAAGGGAAAGACATAAAACCAAAAGATGCGAATGGTTTTAGCGATCCGTTTTGTACCTTATTTTTGTCGTCTTCCCAACAACATAGGTATAATACGTCGGTTAAAAGTCAAACTCTGCGGCCAGTATGGGAAGAACACTTTTCACTGTATGTATTTCCACAAACATATTTTATATCACATAATACTATTGGACACGAGAAATCAAAACTATAGACATTCAATTTAGGCCGGTCGAGACTCCCGCTGACGACATCTTATGCGTGGAAGTTTGGGATTTTGATCCGGCGGAAACGGTAAAAGAAAAAGTCACAAAGGTCGGCGACATCAAAGGATTTAAAGGAATGAGAAGGTTCATGAAAGAAATCGCGGTAACTGCCACGAACGGTAAACACGACAATGAAATTATCGGCGGTACGCTGATACCACTTAAGGTAATTATTATACATATTTATTTTACACTTTTTCTTGACGACTGACGTTTTAACATGTTTTTTTGTTGCTATTATATACAGACAATACCTTCTCGAGGTCAAATAGCTTGGTACAATTTGGAGAAAAAAGGCAAGGGCAAGCCTCAGGGGAATTTGTTATTAAAATTGTCGTTTGGCAGTGAAAAAAATAAACAAGTTGCCGCTCAAGAACATAGACATCTACTGCGAGTATTGTTGGCTCACCAAATGAGTGTACAAAAGGTGAATTTTTATATTGGACAAATAATAAAACGTTAACTAAATCTAATGTTTGACTTCAGCCTGAAATGAATTCGTGGACGGGTGATTTTTTGCCAGAGTCGAGCTTGATTATTCAACAACATGTTGCACAAAGTAATTTAGGTGCTGTTGACGAGTGTTTGGGCCAATGGATTGAATTTATCAACGCTCACGTATTGAGTCCAGTAGTCAATTTTAAAGTATTTTCGGATTTGATAAACAGTTTAGTGAAGCCCATAACCACCGGACACTTGTCCAACGAAGAGGTAGGATAAATATTACTGGAATTTCGAGTTTTTAATCTTTAATAAATATAATATATTATATTATTATTGTTTAGATGAAATTGTTCTGGCARTCGTCCAAAAAAATATTGCCATTTTGCTTCAATGCTATTCGAACGATACGCAAGAAATCAGCAGAAGATGAACAATCGTTGAATCAATTAGAACACGTTTTAAAGTAAATTTATTGAATGGTTTTATCATTTTAACCAGACGTTCTTAAATAAAATTTTGGAATTTTCAGTATCCTACACAACCTTGCTTCGTTGGAGTTACCTAATGATTTAGATCTCTTTCCGTCGGATGTCTATGGTTGGCTGTTACCATGCGAACAAATCAGAGACATCAGAATTACATTGCACGACGCTGTCGTCCATGGCGCGGTGGATTGGTTAGCATTTAATTTGATAATCGAATTAATTGTTATTTGTCTATATTATGGGTTATATATGTTTATGCAGGCATGTTCACATATTAGAAAACAACAAACCCGATGACTTTACGGACGAAGGACAGATGAAACTTCAACTTAAAATAATTCAACTTCTTAAACTAGATTTGCAGAGGGCCGTAGAGTTTCACAACAATCTGTTTATCAAGTAAGATTACTATGTAATAATTCTCATTATTAATTGTTATTTCTATTCAATTCGCATTGTTTTCCAACGCTTATACCTACTGTGCGATGGTCGTCTTGTCATAAATTTKTTTTATTTACTTTTAAATGAAAGAAAGTTTATTTTGCATTTTTTTWAAAAAWTTTTTTAGTTTTTAGGTAATCTTCTTAATTGTTTAGGACATTTTAGAGTTTTTTGGAGCATTAAAAAACAAATTTAGAAACAAAATATAAATTTGAAACTTTGTTTTAAGATTCTTACACTCCAACATGATCTTTATTATAATACATAATATAATAGATTATAATAAAGTACTCGTAATTCATTTATATTATTAGACAATATAGTTGAAAGTCAAAATTAAGATGACAAGTCTAAGCGACGTATAAAATAAAAAAWTCATCTCATGAGATCTWGCGATATAGCTATCTGTACAACTTTCTTTTTTAGATTTAGACTAATATATTACTAATACTTTTTTAAAAATACAAAAAATACCTTAGGAATATATTTATTTTTATACTAAAAAAACTTTTGCAACAAATTTAAAGTTAGTTTTACAATTCGTTTTAACAGTTTTTCTAAASATTTTTGCATTTTTCCAAGGTCATTTATCGAAATTTTTCAGTGCATTAAAATTTCAGCCCAAATTATAAAGTATTAAAAAAAAATTTGTTTACAACAACATAATTTGTTAATTTAAAGGAAAATGCAATTTCCGTACACCAGTACATTATTTTCAATATACGAAAGTAAAATATCTGAAATGTGTGAACCATTCATCACTCGCATTTGTATGAACATGAAGCCAATTAATTTCGAGGATAGCGGACGGTTTCAAGTTGATAACGACCCGCTTGCGATGGGAACGTCACTTTTTGAACTTTACATGGGAATTCAGAAATTTGTCGAGTATGTAATTTTTTACAGTTCTTTACGCAATGTACGACAATAATAGAAATAACATGTTTTTTTGATAAAAAATTGTAGTTTAGGAAAAAACGACAACTACGTAGACTTGGAGAATAGTCATTTGGTCAAATATCACTTATGGTTCCAACAAGGTGTCGCCAGGTGGTTGGATATCGCCGCGTATAAGGCCATGCAACGAATTGAAAGAGCTGTCGATTTGGACAAATTAGTCAAAGTGGACTCATCAGTAGAATACAGTTCGTCAGCAGTGGACACATTGGCAATTTTCTACCAAATAAAAGTGTTTTGGCAACAACTAGCATGGCCTGATGCCGAAGGTTCTTACTCATTCGTGGCAAAGATAATTGATGATATTTGCAGGTGTTCAGTATACTTTTCGGACAAAACAGCTTGTAAACTTAACAGTACTGTAATTGAAAATAAAAGATTCGAAGTCACCAAAGAAGTAATAAATTAATTTAAAAATATATTAGAAAAATAAATTTAAAAAAAAAACATTTATCATTGACTCAAAGATGGGCATTAAAAAGTTAATTTCGTTTTTAACAACATACCTATAGTTGGTTCATTTTTCAATTAACACCATAATTTTATTAGTTAAAGCAACCATTGTAATAACTTGATCTTTTTCAGTTAAATTCAAATATCATTATATTTATTTTCTTTCCCAGTCTCACATGCACCATAGATAAGAGTTCTCACCTAAATTTGATTTTTATGATTTTTGAGAAATCTTAAAGTAAAATTACTTATCCCTAAAAATTAGGGATACTAATAATATTGAGGGTATGACATATCGGTCTAATATTTTATTATTAGACTTTAAAAATAAAAAACAATTTTTTTTTTTTAATTTAAATAATATTTAAATTGTTTTGATAGACAATGTTTAGAAAAATCGACATGTCACACCCTCAAGAATATTATCCTCTATTGTTTTTATGATRGACAATTTTATATTTTTACTCTAAGATTACCACTCAAAAGACAAAAACTGGTCACAGTACCTAAATGCATTTAGTCTATGTTGTGCGTWGGCCTGAGAGAGAAAACAAACAGTGCGTTGATATTATCATAAATTTAAATTTAAATTAATCACATATTTTATTTCATTGTTTATTACAATGATTTCATATGCGAGTAAACATATAAATAAATATTCCTTAACTTCATAATTTTGTCGAAACAAATGTGTAACTACCTAAAACAGCTAGTACAATAGGAAAGAAATAATAATAAATAGTAGGACTTACTTTTACCATATTTATAGCTATTGTTTAAAACAATTTGCATAATAAGTATACATGAACTGGGAGTACTTAATTTTAAGTTTTAACASAGTTAACATAAAATTTTTCTCCATATTAATTTCAAAATTATTTAGATAATTTAGTTAACCTTTTTAACTATATTAAYTATGCTTTATGCTTTCCATAAACTTGCCCATCTTTGAGCATTGTATGACAACCTAACTTATGATTTTTCTATTACCTAAATTGATAATGGATATTATTTTTCTAACATTTTCAATAATTTGTAGTGGTGCCTGGCAGTAAACAATATAGATTATGTAAAACAATCCATACGTCCATTTGTCAATGATTTGGGCCTTACTAAATTGATGGACAGCTTGGCAAACTATAAGAGTGAAATTTCAGCAGAACATTGTAAAAAAACACTGGATTTGGTCGTTGATAATGCAATCGATACTGTAAACAACAAGATCATAGATCTTTTACAAACAGTAGTAAACAAAGTATGTTCAAACTGAAAATGTTAGATAAGAGAATAATCATCATTTTAAAAGTAATGTTCTAATGAGTTTTTTCTTTATAGATGTCCCCAGAAATAAGTAAATTTTTGATCGAAGGCGCGGAAGTTATTAACACAAATAATAGTCATTTGGACAATTTAATGTCATATTTGGATGAAAATCTTTGCACATTAAGCAAGGAACTTAATGAAGAAAATTTTCAACGTATACTTGACATTATAGTTGATCAAATAGCAACGATTATGTATAACCTTATACAACACAATATAGATGTAAGCAATTCATGTGTTTAAAGGTTCAAAATTTCAAATGATAATATTAATCGTTTTTATTCATACATTTTATTAGAAAAAGAAACCACCTTCAAATTTTAGGAATTTAAGAGATAGTTTTCATATTTTGTTTGGATTTTTGCAAAAAGATAACAATACTGAATATAAAAGTGAAACAATTCAAAAGCTTGAAGCACTAATGCATTTGCATACATTAGATACTTTAGACCTTATACATGAATATTATTTAGAAAGACTTCAAAGACAAAATGAGATGGAAGAGGCTAACGAAGGAGTATTAACTGTTAAATTAATATTTATCAACAATGTTCTCAAAGTAGATGTACTAAATGCAAATGGAATTAAAGCAATGGACTCTAATGGTATTTAAATAATAAATATATTAAGTATTTACATTGATTATAAATACTATATTTTATGCTACCATTATTTATATCAATGGTATCAATTGGTACAAACCTGTATGTGTAGATTTATAAATCAGAATTTTCACTTGACAATRTTTTTCAGGTTACAGTGATCCATTCGTTAAAGTACGTTTGTTGCCAAAAGAAAAATTTCTACACGCCATTAAACCTTCAACAGCAGTACAGAAAAAAACTTTGTACCCTTTATTTGATGAATGTTTTAAAATGTTAGTATTGTAACACCTTAAAAATGAATTTTTAATTTAGTTGACTATTTTGCTATTATTTTGCTTACAGTCCTTTAACTCCTGAACAACGTGCTGAAAAAAATGGTTTAGTAATGTTTATAGTGAAAGATCAAGATTACATGGGAATGACAAATGAGTTTGTATCTGAAACATTTGTACATTTTAAAGATATTCCATCTACACAGTTGGAAAATGACTTAGGTAGTGTACCTCAAATACGATTAAAGCTGACATCTCCTAAATCTTTAGGTAATTATTAGTAAATTTATTTCTCATATATTAATAGGACATTATACCATATGGACATAAATATTGTTATTTTTATGTAATTATCTAATTAAAATTATAGATACAAAAATTCTTCAAGCTCTTGATACTAGATCAACAGACAAATTGGCAAAAGAATTTCTTAAGCGAGAAAAAATAAAAATTACTACAGCAAATTCGACACCAAAAAAATGACTACAGTCTATCATTGGACGAATTAAGCATAGTACGTCCACATTGACACGGAAAATAAAAAATTCCTGTTGATTTGTTGTATAAATAAACTAAAATTCAAAAATTTATCAAAAAATTATAATGTAAGACTGAATTAGGGATGACATTTTTTTTACATATTTTAAAATTAAATACAGCGCATGGCTGTGTTACAATATAAATAAATGATTTTTAAGGTTAAGTATAAATATTTAATACATGGATAATTTATAATTAATTTTAAAATATATATCTTAATTATTTTAATATATTTGGTACCTGTAGATATTGTATTAAAATATAACAAATAATTGAGGCAATATTAATTTAATAGATAAGTATATACAAATTTTGTATCAATAAATTGAACAAATATTAATTTTTAGTAATATAAATTGTGTTTTATTTTAATACCAAATTAATGAACATTAGTCGATAAATAAACTTAATGTATTTGAATACTTTTTTATAGGTACATTATTATTAAGGGTCTCTGCACATAATCTCTAACTGATAATACCTTACCCTGTTTTTACTTATTTATGTTTAATTTTGTTTTTGAATACTGTTTAGTTGGTAATGATTTAAAGTTTTAGATTAAATAGTATTTTTGTGCTGAGAAAGAAAAACATATTGATATATATTAAATAATAGTTATATTCAATTCGGCCTCTTTGAACTAAAAATAATTTTCGATTTGTCTCTTTTTGTAATAAATAGTAAAACTTGTCAAGTTCAAAACAATAAATAAATCAATAGGTAAATTTATAACGATCATAAATAATAAGTACTATGTAGGTAGGTATACTGAATAAAAATATTTAATATAGGTTCAAAAAAATTTAATATATATAAACGTATACAAATTACATTCAATAAAAATATATTAGAAAATAAAGTATCTAGGTACTTAATGAAATTAAGTTTTTACAAAAATAGATGCGAAATCGCAATTATTTAAAAAAAGTAGACAATTATTGTATWTTTAAGTATACAAATAGTACAATTATATTTATGCATAATTAAATATATGGTTAAGTTAGTTTCTACATATTTAGGAATTCCATAAACAAGACAATAAAACCAGTATTATTAATATGAAAATAATATAATATTTAGCTTATGACTGGTAAACCTGTATGTAAGTTGTAACATAAAAATCAAGTTATGAAATTTAAATCTTTCAAAAAAAAATTTAACATTACTCTAGATCATTACTATTTCAAATAGATTAAACAATATAAACTCTTGTCATCTAATCAAATACAAAAATAAAAAAACATCAGAATATAATGGTAAGATAGGTACGAGATATCTGTGAGTACACAAAAAATAATATATTAATATATATTTTTTAAACATATTGAAATAAATACGTAAGCAAATCATTTTTACTCACAGTTCATCCTTTTGATTATTTTTTTGATAAACTGGAAATGCCCAAAACTCAGTAGGTAGACCATTTGAATCTCTCTCACGTTTAACAAAAGCACTGAATGAAGATATACAGTTGCCAATAAAATAATCTGCCTYTCCTAATATTGCAAGATCTACGTGCGGACTATCTTTATCGTATTTTACAGTTTTCAAATTAAAACTCGATAATGCATGTGAAAGTTCAGGAATTAGATGATTGTTATCAGATGCTACGAAAATTGTACTTATGTCTTTGTCATATTTTCGAATGAGTCTTTTGAGTTGTTTTACAACTGTTTCAAAAGTTGGATAGCATAATTCTTCTGTTGCTTTTCCATRTTCATTCCTGTAGCCTAAGCACTGTGGAGCTGAGAACAACAAAGAGTTCTTGGTGATATGTTCACAAGCCCTGACCCAATCAATACCATTGCGCAAGTGAATACCAATAAATTTTCCAGGCTTAATTCTATTCTTTATAAAAGAGTTTGCCAAGTTATTTATTTCGTCGCTCCATTTTAAGTACTTATGAATCTCTACATTTTCTTTTTGAATTGGAAAACTTGCTGGAGCACCAACAAATGCCAACACTGGCCATTCAGATGATGGATACTTCTCATGCCATTTAGATACCATATCGTGATGGTAAACATCGTAGTTCAGGGGAGCATAAAATTCAGAAGATGAAAAATCAATGCCATATGTATCCCAAAATGATTCAAAAGGGTTCCCTGCTTTGGCATTACATCCTTCCAATTCGCCTCTTTGCATATAACAAAACGATGTTCGACTTGCTGGCGGCCATAGATCATTTGAATAATTAGTCATAAAGTCATTCATCAACTCAACCCTGTGATACTCTAAAAGTGGATCTACTTTAAAGTATGTATCAAATGGAATTTGTACAGACTTCTGCTGGCCATAGCGGTATTCAATCCAATGAGGTAATAACAGTGTGCGATTTAAAGCTTTGGCAAAACCAATGGCTCCCAAAAAGTGATCGGCTTGGTTTCCAAAACGGCCCATGCATGGACAGTAGGCTATATAACCAGAAGGATCTTGGGTAAATGCAAAATTCAAAAAATACATACTTAAGATGAGAAATATTCGATAGGTATCCATGTTTGATAGAAACAATRAGAACTTAAATAGACAACTAGATTAAATAAATACACTACATTACATTAAAATTATAAAAAAACAATACAAGTAATGAATTTTTTAAGCTTATGTTGAAAAGTCTACCTAGGTACATATTTAAAAAATTTAATTCATCAAAAAGTACATATATATTCGATAAATACTAAATAACTGTACTATAGTTAATATAAAATAAATAAGTGTTAACTATTAATAATCATTAACTGTAAATTAACTATATTACAGACATTGATAAATTCTTTAATAACCGTATAATATAATATTAAATATTTTATAAATTTATTTACCCGTTATAAAAGTCGGTGTAAAAATTTCGAAAACAAAATTTAAGGTTTTTGATAACAGTAAAACTGGGAGATAGCCACAGATAAGTATAGATGTCTGTGGAGATGGCATATAAACAGTGACGAAAACCTAATATAGAACAAAGATGTCAACATTTTTTTCTCGTATTATGTCTGGCAACACTGTACAGTTCAATGGCATGCTGATTGGTGATGGCCGGCGGGTGACTGGTTGAGGTGGGAACCAAATAATAATATGATAAAAGTACAAAACTTGCTTCGTAGAGCTTGTTCGCTAGTGGTTTGCAATAATATGCCAAATATTTGGCAATAAAGTGACGATGTCAAAAACTGCCAAATTATTATCACACACTACACAATAATATATATTTTTTTTTTTAAATAATTGTTTATTATAATCGCTTAGTGTAAAAATGTCTTCTAAAGCTGAGAAAGATAAACAGAAACAAATACAGGATAGATGTCTGTCGTTGCTGAACCAAATGTTGAAAGATGACGATAACAAGTACTGTGTGGATTGTGATTCAAAAGGTAAATATTGATTAAGCATAACATTTTTTACGTATTCTTTAACCAAATAGATTAATATTATTACAAAAAAAATTAGGACCAAGATGGGCTTCGTGGAATTTGGGAATATTCCTGTGCATAAGATGTGCTGGCATCCACCGTAATCTCGGTGTACACATCAGCAAAGTTCGGTCTGTGAATTTGGATTCTTGGACTCCCGAACAAGTGGTGGTGTGTATATATTATTTAATATTTATCTTCAGTGAATTTATTATAGTATTTTTCGTTAAACAGTAAATTCTATAATTACAGAATTTGCAACAAATGGGAAATAGTCGAGCCAGAGCTGTTTACGAAGCAAATCTACCTGATAATTTTAGACGTCCGCAAACTGATTCTGCATTAGAGGCATTCATTCGTTCGAAGTACGAACACAAAAAGTACATTGCCAAAGAATGGGTGCAGCCTCCATTGCCTAAAGTAAAAATTTCATCAATGTCATTTCATTGCTATTATTATTATTAGCAGCATTGAACTATTAAAATATAGTTAACTTGAAGTTTATTATTAAAATTATCTGATATGAGGTATTTCCTTATAATTCAATTATGCTTATCAGAACAATGTTATATCTGACCAGATGATAATTGTCTGCATATATTTAACATCACCATGTTAAAGTTAATTTTTTTGAGGTACCTATGCTAAAATAAAAATAACATAACTATAAATTACTAAATTAATTCAATAATTAATACTTTATAATTGTTATACATTACACCCGTTCCTGAAACATTGTATTTTAAACAGTTTCATTCATGTTCAACAAAATATTTTAATGATAATTATGATAGATATTTAAGAAATAACTATAATTTAATGATTAAAATGATGTCATTAGTCATTACCTATGCATTTACCATCATAGTAATTTTTTATTTGTATGTAAACATTAAAAACTACAATATATAAACCAAATATAAAAATAATATACTTAAAGTATTTTATAGTATCTATTGAAATTAAATTCTTTACTTAAATTGTTATCTTGTGTTTTTAGGTAAATTGGGATAAGGATTTAGAAGAAGAAGCTGAAAAACAGAAGAAAAAAAAGCGAGAACCAAAACCTGGGTCAATTATGCGCAATGTGCCTTCAATTGTGCCAAATCCATTACCAAAACCTATTTCTTTAAGCCCAAAATTATCATCAAACAAGAAACCGATTTCATCTAATTCAAATCATTCCACCGATCTTCTCGGTTTGGGTATATAATTTAATCTATTTTAAAATTATTCATAACTTTTTAGTTACTAATACATTATTACTATTATACAGATACTCCCACAAAAGACTCCAACCCTACATTGATAGATACGTCCTTCACATCCTCCAGTTCAGATTCAACAGACCCGTTCAGTAGTTTCTTAAGTGCATCTGTTTCTTCTACTACAACYGCTTCTCCCCAAATTCAACAAACTATTGATCCAATGATAGGTCGTTCCACTGAAGAGGAGAACTTTTTCAACCAACCAACGACTTCAAAAAATAAACTCACTACTGACTCTATTTTGGCATTATACGGAAAAACATCATCCCCAAATAACATAGCTACAAGCCAGTATACAAGTAAATAACTTTCAAGTTCAATATTGTGTTGATATTAAAAACATTATTTTTGTGTRTTTAGGTCAAAATAACGGTTTTGTTCCTCCTCAGTCACAACAACCATTTTTGAACACTTTCAATCAAAATGGATTCCAAAATATGCAATCCATCAATAATCTTGTATGTTTATAAATAACTAATACTGTATTTTAATTATGACTAACATTCAAACTTATTTTTTATTTAATTTAGGGGAATAATTCTATCAATTTGCTATCAAAGAACTCTATTGATTTTAACAATCTTCAGTCCTCAACAAATTCTAGTTTTGCGTCTAATCCATTTTACAGTATGGCTGCAAAAAATGCACCAACTCAATTTATTAACAATGTAAGTGATACATTTATTTAAGTTAATTTAGCTTAGATATAGAGAGTAAAATTTTATCACCACTTCCTAGTCCTTGTTCATTTTTATTTTACATGCTCTTTAGAATATTATTTTATGCTTAAACACATTAATTCGCGGCTGTGCATGAAAAAAGGGTCAAAGCAACATTTTGTGTAAAACAAGTTATTTACATCAAAAAATGTAGAAAAAACTACATAAATTGTATCAAAAGATATAAATAATTTTATGTTATTGAATGTGTTATTTCAAAGTGCGTTTAGTGTTWACTCAATTTTTATGTGCTACAAGGGTTATGTCACCATTAGATACATATTATATCTTTTGGCACCAAACTTTAATTTAATTTAACTTTGTTTTTGCTCTCCTGAAAAATTTGATTTTGATGACTGAACCCCTTTTTAACCCGCAACCGTGAACTATGATTATTTAAAAAATGTCACACCCACATGTATTGTCTCCATCTTACAAACATGCGACATTCTACATTTGTTTTATCAATTCCAATCTTGTGCAGTAAATTTTAATCCTACAGTGAATTTATGTATGTATTATCAAACTAAAAGATTGAAAAAATGTATGTGTTTTTTGTGAGGCCTTTTTTTAATACATTTATATTTTAAAACAAATATACAATATTAGTTAAATAATATACAWTGTATGTCACTAACCCACAAAAGAAAACACTGATTATGTACTTACCTTTAAGTTTGATAATAGGTCATAATAACTCTCTCATTAAAGGTTACCTTATGAAATTAGATCCGCTGAACAGTGAACACAAATTTGCTATGTTGTATGTTTGTTGAAGACAAAATATGCAGGTGTAGTATCCTCTTAAAATGAATAAACATTTAAATATTATAATATAAAGCTCATTATTTCTTAGTAATGCATTTATCTATGATAGATTTATTTTCTAAACATTTAGAATATGTTACATCCTATTAAAAATAATAAACATTTAATTTTTTTAACCAAAATAAATGTATTTCTCTTATATCTTTAATATTCAAGTACAGTATAATCAGCTGTAGTATATATTCTCCATACCTATTATTTATTAAGTTAATTTTTTTATTTCATTTTAATACTCGATACATAGATAACAATCAATCATGCAAAATACTACAAAATCAATTGCATACCTTATAAATTATAAAACATTGGTTATTTAATATCATAACGTKTATGTGTCATAAGGAGATAGAATTTTCAAAGCATGAAAATGGAACATTTATATTTTTACAAACGACACTTTTAAATTAGATGAATAAATATTTAATATATTAACTATATACAATTATTACATAAAAATAAATTTTCTATAAATTAATTATTCATTAGATCTGGGGTTGGCTTAAGAGATTTATCGAGGTTTTCAACGTCATTGAGGTTTAGTCTGTTGGTTTTGTATTGCCAGAGTACAGCCAATATATGTTTAATAGTTACATAAACAACACGAGATTATTCGTATGGGGCGAGGGGAAGAGATACATCTCCTTTAGATGTTAAGAATTTCATAGGTTAGTTGAGTGTGGCCTATTTATAGACAATATTTTGATTTTTTTAAATTTAATTAATAGTTTTAAAATTTATTTTTTGCCTAACAGTTGAAGGAGCACTAAACACAGAAAATATATTTTTTAATTTGAACAAATGTTCAATTTTAAGATAAATGGTTAATATTTAATGCCCACTCCCATTCTTTAAGTAATATTACTTTCTAAAAATATAAATTCACATCTTTAAAAACAAAACTTCAAATATACAAATCACTTCTGGAACCCATATGGACGTATGGTATCCAATTATGGGGATCTGTTAAAAAATAAAATTCAGGCCTTCCCAAATATGACCCTTCGAAAAATCACAATTATTATGCCCCACCCTTTGTCTCTAACATGACCCAAAAATAAAATAATAAAAWGATAAATGGTGTAAGTTTTAAATATCTACTCACGATATTAAATTATTTGATAAATTATGAGGAATTTAAAAAAAGACGCTTGACGTCAATGTGCAGAGCAATCCACAATTGCCTATTTTGTACTTGTTGAAGTTGCTTGCTTTACATAATTATTCACTTACCTTTAAAATATATTTTTGAATTTTGATTCCATGTATGTGATGTGTTTTTATGCAATGAAGACGTTATGAAACTAGCATTTGCTTGAAGTTTTAAGTTTTTTTGAAATATTTTTATTTTATTTTATTTAATAATTAAATGTTTCAGCATATTAATCATGCTTTTACAAGTTTAGATTACGGCTAATACAAATAGAATATGGAATGGGGATTGTAGATAATTTTAATGAGGTATGTAGATAAGACATTTAATATTGGAAGTAATGGCTGCTATGGGAATATTGTTGTGAGTTAGCTTAAAATTACAGTTATTAGAAAAACTAATGGATTTAATAMTATTTTTAGTTCGTTCAAGATGTTTGACGTTGAATTTGAATTTGAGTTTGAAGTACWGGATGTTGGTTGGGCAGCTGTTACACTGGCATATGATGAACCAGACTGGGGTGCATGCGCTGCATGACGACGTGAGGTGCCTTGTTGTTTTGGAATTACTACCTTTTTTGGTTTGTTTGCAGAATTTGTCAGTTTTTTGTAAATGATACAACCTTTATATGATGCTGTATGTGCACCAGAGCATAGTGCACATTTMGCMGGGAGGCTACTATCTTTGGTGCACATATCAGTTGAGTGRTTTTSGCCGCATTTAACGCATCTGGGCTGCTGACTACAGTAGTTACGCGTATGACCGTATGCTTGACATGTGTAGCATTGATGCGGGTTTTTGCGTTTTGTATGTGGTTTTTCATTCAATACTGCGGAATGAAGGAGTTTTGTAATCTTGAAGATTTCTTTATTGTTTTCTTTAAGAGCCAGTTCAACGTGGAACAGTGGTAAGGGACGATGGTTCTTTTTGATATTATCACGCGCGGGGCCGAGTGTCCAAGTTCAGCCAGGGCGTTWGTAATATCAGTTATGATAGTGGAGTGATGCAGATTTCTGATTACTGCTTTGTATTGCCGTTTGCAGTGCGGCTGAAAAGAGTGAAATTTGGCATTGGTTTCTTTTAAGTGATCGATAACTATGTTGTAGGTTATGCGKTTGTTGGTGYGGRTTATAATAAATGATGGTGTGGACTTAAATGAAATATCGTTTGTGCCTGTGAGTGATATTATTTTTTTACTGAATATTGAGAAATTGGTGACTTTCTTTACGTAGATTGCCGGTATTCAGGTAGGCATAGGTGTGATTTTAGTTTTATATAGTTGCTCACAGACTACTATGTTATCATTTGATTGAAATACCTCATTTTCGATTTCGCCGTCAGAAACCTTGGCCAGTGCCGCGTATCGATTTGGTGATGTGTATTGCTTGATTTTCTTTTCTTCTTGTGGTGATGGACTAGAAGGCGAGGACAAATGCCGTTTTGATTTTTGGATTTATGGTGGTTGAGGCGGCGTCATGTTAGGCGGACTCAAAGTGATTACGAGGAGCGATAACGGAGCGAAYGTGTGTTCATGACGAACATTATCGCCAGACTATGAAAAATATTTAAAACCTTATAAAAGGATGTTTTGCTTTATAAACTTTGTTATATTAGCAGCCAATAATCGCGATATGACATGCAACCAGCTAAGTTAAATATTTTTAATATTACAAAAATATATATATTAAATTTCAATTCTAATACCTTAATCGTCATTAGCACAAAATGCACACATTTATAGTAGATCTAAAAAACATTGAAAATTACATTGTTGGGTACATATAAATTATTGTGTAAAGCGAGTAACTTTTTCATGTAAAAGATAGGAAGTTATTTCTAAAACAACCCACTGACGTCATCTGGTGATTCTAAATATCCTAATTTTTTTTTTGCATTGGATTTTTACCAAATCATTTTTTGCATTGTTTACAATAATAATATAAAGTAATAATTTGAAGAAAACTTTTTTGTTGTGTACTCCTTTAGTCCTTTAATACTCTTCTAATACCAACATAAAATTTTCAAATTGTTTACATAATAAATAGTCTTCTGATTATAAATTAATGATTTTTCAGCAAAATGTAACTATCATTGCTTTTTTTTATGTGTGTGAGAGTTGTGTGTCTACAAATTTGTTTGAACTTATACCGTATATTTCATATATATACCTCCTTATGAATTTAAGCATCATTACATTGTTTTAACCATAAACATTGGTTTAATCAAAAATTAAGTTACAATAAATTATTTAAACCAAACAAAGAACTATGTAAGGCAATAGGACTATTATTATTAGTTTAACATTTTGCATACTTATTACTTAGGTATTATAAAATAATTATGCTTATTAACTTGTAGTTAATATCCACACAATTTATATTTATAAATACACTTATAGGAGAGTTCTGCAGTGAAAAATAATCAGTTTTCAGCATTTGAATCTTCAAATAATTTAGTTCATGTGAGTAAATTTACTGTATGATAATATTTAACAATTTTTAATGAATAATCAATTTTTCAGTTGCCTCAACAGATGACCATGCTGAATTTGGGGAATCAAACAACAGCTCCATCAAGTGTCAGTGTCAACGGCTTTACAGACCTTTCTAATGGATTTACAGACCTTTCTAATGGCTTTGCAGACCTCTCCAATGGCTTTACAGACCTTACAAAACCATCACAAACTGGCCAAACGCTTTCACCTAATTTATGGCAGTAGTTACAGCTTGTTGATTGTTCATAATGGTTTTGTTATTCAAACATTTTAAATTTAATACAAGTTGAATTAAACTAGATTTTTATTGGAAAAATGTATTTTTAATTGTAACTCGTATTTTATAAGACGGTATATTTACATTTTTTTGCGTATTTATAACGCTCTGCTTTACCTATATACTCACGGAACCGTCCAATAAACGGAGCTCGGCATGTAAATAAACGTTTCAAAGTAAACCATACATCTTAAATGTCGAAAATTATCTATTGCTTTATTTAAATAAACAAATTTATTATTACTCTTTAATGATAATTGATTGGTTTACAAGTGAATAAAATTGTATTTCAATGAATTGCAATATAATTGAACACTTATGTGAAATATTCATAAAATTATCATATTATTGAGAATTTCTTATGCTGTGTTTCAACGACAAAGACAAATATTTATTATAATTATGTTCACATTTAATCATTATTTATATGAATAAAATTTGTATTTTATTATTTATTAAATTAACCAGAGCTAAAGTTATTCAAATTAAATTAATTATATTAACAAATAGGCTCTGGTAATTTTTATTTTTAAGTGTAACCACCATTTAGTGTGGATTTATAATATAAACTCATATTGGTGATTTACAAAATATAAAATATGATTAAAATATTTTATTAGTCATAATTGATATTTAAGTTTTTGTGCAATTATATGAAATTTTTAATATAATTAGATTTGTATATTATCTTATCCGATTGTATTTATTACCTATCATTTTTTTTTTTTTTTAAATTAAAATCAAGTGATTCACTCATTGTTGCCTGATGTGTAATTACTACATAAATGGTGGTTTAACATGTATCCATAAGTTTTGAATTTACAGTGTTTACTTATAAACAAATTATGTACRGTGATTCAAATGGTAAACTAAAGTAAGAGTTTACATATTTAAGCCTCACACGCACTGCACCTGTAGAGGTCAAATGCTAAGTTACTCATAATTTACTTCTATTGAGGTACTAGACATAGTAAAAGTCAGCCAGACAAAATTATCTTACCGCCACCACTATAGTGTGTGTGTGTGAACTTGTATAGTTACAGTACACATTTATTAATATGAGATTGTAAATTTAATAACTAATGCACTAATTATCTATTTAATTATTAAAAAATTTCATTAATGTTAAATTTTAAACAATATTGGGTATAGTGTTCGTAAAAAATAAAAAGTTAAACATAGTTTTTAAATGTTTTAAAATATGTAAAATTTCATTAAGTTGTGAATTTTTTAATAGGTGCCAATAGAAAGTATAACATAACTAACTTTAAATTATTATAGAACAACTTTTTTGTTGAATAGATAAAGAATATAAAAACACAAATCCTGTTGAAAACAAAAATTAGCACAAGATGACACTCGACCCATATGTATTATGTATGTGCAGTTGTTTCCGTCACATAAATGTACATAATAGTAAATTTGCATATGGTAAAATATATTTTGTACTATCAGTTACAAATTTATACTTGTTAACAATACTTTTTAGAAGTGCCTAGTTCAGATAGATAGATATTTAGATGCCCCTCTTCTAATGAGTATTTTAAAATGTAAAAAAAATTGTTTGG